TGAGGGGAGGTACCACTGCCCGTCCCCGGGGTACGGGGCAGCCACGATGTCACCGGGACGGACGGATACAGGGGGGCACTGGGGACAGACGGACAGTGAGGGGACAGGGGGACAGTGAGGGGAGGTACCACTGCCCGTCCCCGGGGTACGGGGCAGCCACGATGTCACCGGGACGGACGGATACAGGGGGGCACTGGGGACAGAGGGACGGGGGGACAGGGGGACAGTGAGGGGAGGTACCACTGCCCGTCCCCGGGGTACGGGGCAGCCACGATGTCACCGGGACGGACGGACACAGGGGGGCACTGGGGACAGACGGACAGTGAGGGGACAGCCAGGGGACAGGGGACAGGGGGACAGTGAGGGGAGGTACCACTGCCCGTCCCCGGGGTACGGGGCCGCCACGATGTCACCGGGACGGACGGACACAGGGGGGCACTGGGGACAGACGGACAGTCAGGGGACAGGGAGGGGACAGGGGGTGGCCACGATGTCCCTGGGACACACCGACGGGGGGAGGGGGGGGCACTGGGGACAGGGAGGGGACACAGAGGGTCCCCAGGGCCCCCCGGGGGTCTCACGGGGTGGGTGACATCGCTGTGACAAGGGGGGGACCCAGAGGGGACCCAGAGGGGATCTGGGGGGTCCCCAGGGTGTCCCGGGGGTCTCATGGGGTTGGTGACATCACTGTGACAAGGGGGGGACACAGAGGGGTCACAGAGGGTCCCCAGGGCCCCCGGGGGTCTCACGGGGTGGGTGACATCGCTATGACAAGGGGGGGACACAGAGGGGACACAGAAGGGTCACAGACAGGACCCAGAGGGGACACAGAAGGGTCACAGACAGGACACAGAGGGGACACAGAAGGGACCCAGAGGGTCCCCAGGGCCCCCGGGGGTCTCACGGTGTGGGTGACATCGCTGTGACAAAGGGGGGGACACAGACGACACAGAAGGGACCCAGAGGGGACACAGAGGGGACCCAGAGGGTCCCCAGGGCCGCCCGGGGGTCTCACGGGGTGGGTGACATCACTGTGACAAGGGGGGGACACAGAGGGGATCTGGGGGGTCCCCAGGGTGTCCCGGGGGTCTCATGGGGTGGGTGACATCGCTGTGACAAGGGGGGGACACAGAGGGGACACAGAGGGTCCCCAGGGTGTCCCGGGGGTCTCACGGGGTGGGTGACATCGCTGTGACAAGGGGGGGACACAGAGGGGATCTGGGGGGTCCCCAGGGCTCTCACGGGGTGGGTGACATCACTGTGACAAGGGGGGGACACAGAGGGGACACAGAAGGGACCCAGAAGGGACCCAGAGGGGATCTGGGGGGTCCCCAGGGGTCTCACGGGGTGGGTGACATCACTGTGACAAAGGGGGGACACAGAGGGGATCTGGGGGGTCCCCAGGGTGTCCCGGGGGTCTCACGGGGTGGGTGCCGCCGTAGTAGTGCCCCATCTCGCGGGTGAGCTTGTCCAGCTGCAGGGAGCGGCTGCCCAGCAGCTGCACCCAGAAGTGCCCGGGGCTCTCGGCCGCCGACACGAACACCTCCAGCGGCTCCTCCGCGGGGAAGCTCAGCTCCGGGCTGGGAACTGCGGGAACGGCACGGGATCGGCCCGGGCTGGGGCACGGGGGCAGCCAGGGACAGCCCGGGG